GAAGAACCCAAGACAGCTTTCATGTCGATCTTCCTCTCCTTTTTATTCCCACCGTAGCCCAGTGTGGTAGGCTAGGCTGAGCGTGGCTGGCCTGAAGTCATCCAGTCACTTCAAGACCTAACAGAGTTTAGAACCAGGATCTTCCCAGTCCCAGTCTGGCACTCTTAACCACTACACCACACCGACTTTCATTCTGCCTTATTTCCAACTAAGCCTGCTTAGGATTGCAACCTTACTAAGCTGTATCTTCCCTCACTACTTTGTTCCTGAATGTAGATGGTAAAATCTGAAAATAGCCCTGCTGCCTTGCAGAAATGCATTTGTCAATATATTTAATTGGGTATTCTGTTTTCCTTCCCTCCCTGATCTTATTTTGCTTTGTTTTTCTTGCCTGGCCAAAATAGCAACCAAGCCTGTCTAAACTGATCCAAGCACAGAAAAAATGGAAGAGGAAAGGCTGAGTTTGTCCTTTCCCTTTAAAACTTCAGATACTTTGCAATCACTGGCCAAGGTTCAAAGTTCTTTGGAACTAGTTCCATGAGTCTGAGGGCAGAGCAGTGTTAGAGTTGTTTGTCTTGAGCGGCTGCCTCCTCCTGCACCCCACAACACATGGCAAGCTGCACATGGAACTGAGGAGTGTCCAAAGCAATTTGTGATTTGGCATGGAGATCTGCTGTTCAAAAAAGAAAAGGTGAAAGCAAAAACGACCAGGGCAGAGCAGCTCTACCAGGCTAGCTTTTGCATCTGCTTGCCAGCTCTTTGGAGCTCAGCCGGTCATTATTTCTAATAGAACTGTTGCTCAAATAAAAGCATTTTAATGAATCATCTCAGTTTTCGTCATTGGATTGTTTGACCTTTCATATACAAGAATTCAGGATTCTGATTCAGGATTTATGTGCAATTTCACATAAATAAAAACATCATTACGCTTATAATAATCTTTATTAGCTAAGGATCCCTTAGTGAGGCTGTATAAGGAGATTTTCATGATCTCTTTCCTGAAACAATATAGATCTTTGCACATTATTCAGAATCTGATGTTGGCTCTTCATATGCTGGAACTCCCACCATGTCAAGCGAAAGATGGTTAGTATTTGCAGTATAGATGAAGAACTGAGGCTGAGACCAAGTTTCTGTGAAGTGGACATTTCTGGTGCTTTGTGAGGGCAGATTGGTGACTTGGTATTTGGGACTCTGACCCTGCCTCTTTCATCAGTTTGCCTCCTGTGAAATAGGTGCCAGGATAGAAAACTCTGGGTTCAAAAGAAATGGACAAAGCAGCCACATCGATCACAGCAGCCATTTTGTAAATGGACTCATGGTAGCCATTTTGTGAGAATGCCCACAACAATCTCTCAAAATTCCAAATGAGTCCATTGACCCAAATGGTTTGGGGACCCCTGTAGTAGCGGCTTGCCTGTCATTTACTTTTTGTAAACTTCCAGAGAGCTTCAGCTACGGGCAGAATAGAAATGTTAATAGATGGTGATGATTATGGTGACTGTGACAGCTCTCTAATCTTATTTGGGCATTATTGCAAACTCTGTGGAAAGAATATGCTCAGGTGACATGGGGGTACACACACTGGCATTCAGCACAAAGATCTGAAAGGAAACCGTTAAATGTGCTTAATGTCTCCCCATCCTGACAACATGGAGAGGCTTCTAATCTCAGCTGAATATGCTTGGAATATCCCATCCAGAGTGAAATAGCCTTGATATTGGTGGTGGTGATTGGGAGCCTGCCATCTCTTCACACAGGACTGACACAGAATCTGAAACAACGCTTGAATTGGGCTAGCATCTAATAAATAAACTATGTTTTAAAAGCATCACATAGAAACAAGGGGAGCTGCTTTATTCCAAGTCAGAGCACTGGCCCATCTTGCCTCGAATGGCTGACCCTGACTGGCACAATTCTTCCCTGTCCTTTCGTGGAAATACTGGGAATCAAATTGGGATTTCATGAAGGCAAAGTGCATACACTGTTATGAAGCTATGGCCTCTTCCCTCAGAAAGCCCACCCTCTCATGCAGCATGTGCTTGCCAGGATGCGTTATTGAATTCAGGGGGAATTACTTCTGTGTAAACATTGCGCCAAAAGTCTTTTGACAGTGTTACTTTTTTTTAGAGCTTGTTTATTTATCTTACAGAGTTTATAAACTGCTCTGTGTTGGAGAGTGACAAACATAAAAGGAAAAAATAAAAAAGAACAAAAACATTTAAAATCAAGTTGTATCAATGAAACCATAGTTAGTCTTTCTGGAAAAGCTTATTTAGATAAAATGCCTTGAACAGATGCCAGAAATAAAGCTGCACTGGCTCTTGTCTGACATCAGCTGGCAAGGCATTCAGGGAAGCAGTCGGTGCTACTCTGACGTTATAGCTTGATTAGGTTCTTCTGCTTTTTATGTCATGCAAGTGTTAAGCGTAATATGAAAACAAGGTTTGCACAGCTACCACACACCTGCTTACACCAGAGGTAGAGAAGCTTTCGGGGCCCATGGGGATGCTTGGCTGTTTGAGAAACTGCCGTAGGTGCCACCAAAAAATTGCTGGGTTTTGCATATTCTGTCCTACCATGGTGCAGTACTACCTAGAGGTTATGCAGCAGCAAAGCAAAAATCCAAAAGAAATGCTCATTGTGTGGTGCTTGGATCTGAAACCTGCAGCAAAACAGAAATTAACAGCCTTGTGTAGAAAAGTTCTTGGAGCAAAAGACTGGCTTGGTGGAGTGGAAGCTGCTGGTGGAATCGATTCCCCTCCCCTCCCCCACTCCCTCCTGCTGACCTCTGCTTCTTCCGCCTCTGCTGGGGAGGGTGGGGGAATCCTCCGGAGCAGATTTGCAGCGTATGGTGGACAGTGTCCAGGGAAGAACAAGGCAACACTCTCATGATGTTGGATGGAGTCTTCTCTTTAATCAAGCCCCTGAACTGCAATTCGTTTGCTGCTTATAATCTCCATTAAGCCGTTTGTTGAAATAAGTTGCTTAATTGGCTTGATGGAAGCTTTATCAACTTTAAAGCAATCCCACAATAAAACCTGAAGTGCACTTATGCAGTGATCTAATTACTTCTGTGGCAAACTCACTTCTCCTTCTATGGTGATGACTTCAGCAAAGATTTTCTCATCAAAAGACCTTAATCTTTGTAGTTCTGTGAAGTGCACACAATGCACATAAGAACATAAGGAAAGCCATGCTGGATCAGACCAAAGGTCCATTTAGTCCGGCACTCTGTACACACGGTGGCAAACCAGCTGCCCACAGGATCCCTCAAGCAGGACGGGCGCAAGGCCTCCTCCTGCCTAACCTAACCTCCTCAGCAACTGGGGCATGCAGGCATGTCCCCTCTGCTGAAAAAGGCAGCATATAGCTGGCAAGGGTAGTATCCACCGATAGCCTCCTTATTTATGCAGGGAGCGACAGCACACAGGAGGATGGAAGGAAGAAACCCAGCAGGGAAGGAGGTGGGAAACCAGTATTCAGCTTTTTTGTGGAAGAACACTTTAACACAGATTGCAGGGAGAAGTTCAACTTGCATTTTTAATATGTATCGCTATAGCAGAGGAAGACTTTGTCTTATTGAAATATCTGCTTCAAGTCTTGTTCCTAATACCCTCTGTAGTCCTAGGGCTAAAGCAATAGATTTAATTCCAGAGAACTCTTTGATCTTGAATGAATAGGTTCTGGGAGACTAGCAGTGTTTTTCTTCCAGAAAGAAACAGCATCAAACTAATTTTGATGGAAATTACGGCAAGGGTCTGGTAGCCCCGTGCCATCTTAACCCCTCTGGCAACAAACTACTTAAAGAAAGCTTGTCAGACCCGACTTCTTTTAAAGTAAAAGGATGCTTCAGAGAAGTTAAAAACTGTGCTAATAATAAACTAAAGACCAAGTGAACTATGAAGGCTGGGAATGCTTTTGTCCGTTCCCACAGAACATGTTTTCTCAGCTCCTTCTGATGACATCATGCATCAGTGCTGGGCACAGTGGCATTTCTGATCAATCATCTGGCAGTGCTTTCCCTTCGACTTAATCCCTGTTACTGGATTTTGACAAAGCAACCTCTCTGGAACAGGACTGTCTTTCAGCTGCTGCCCACGTTAATGTTTAATATGATACGCTGTCGCATTTTCATATTGGATGCCGCAGGCGGATATCCTCCTGCTAATTTCTTGTGACACTAGGAACTTGCTAAATACAGATTTATGGGAATGGAGTCTCTTTCTTTTGAAGTGACCTTAGGAGATCTACATTGCTGGCAGTGCTGGTCACAAAGCACTTCCTGGTGTCCATAGAAGGGAAATGAGCTGGCAGAAAGTTGGTTGCAAATACGACATGGACCCTCACAAATGCATATGCATACTCCTGCTCCCGTTCTTGTTTCAAATGTAGTTATCTGCATATTTAGAGGAAGGAAAAAGCCTGGACACTATCAGTTATAGGACTTCTTTCTATCTAAATACGCATAGAATTGCACCCAGAGTTTCTTGATATCCTAGCAGATCTAGAAGAAGCTAGATCTTGGTGGATTAATCAGTTTTGGAGATGGTTTATCAGCATATGTCTTCCTTTGCTTGCTATTTTCCTGCCCTGCAGCAGCAGATTAGAAAAGAGGAAGCAGCACTCTAACCTTCTGTCACAGACGTCTGTTATCCTTCTAAGGACCACAGCAACATTTCAAGCCCTCTGGCCATTGTTCAGTACTTCAGGCTAGAACACATGGCTACTGTAACCTGATGGGACGTTTTCCAGAGTGCTCCATATTGCTCCATCAAGCCAGAAGTGCCTTGTGGTGGATTAGGAGTGTGGCACACTTGAGCCTCTGGCTATGGGTGGCCTGCAGTCCACCCCAGGCAGCGGGAGGGGGGGATTATGCCAATGCCAGAACCCAAGTTCACCCATGTGAGGCCCACTGGGAGGTTCCCAGTTTGCAGGTATATATGATTTATTTAATAGTGTGCTGGTTCTGTACTCGATTTCTCTTTTACAATGTTTAGATCAAAAAAGACCAAGAAACCTTCACTCTCTCCAGTCAAGGAGGACAAGCCCAAGCCAACCATTTTTGATGAAGATGTGGATTCAGATGAAGACCTATTCGGCTCAGCTGGAGAGTCTTCATTCAGTGGCAATAAGAAGATATTAGCAGCCAAAGAAAGTAATGTATTTACACTTAGTTTCATGATATGCGAATATGTGTAGAATTTTCACAAAACATGAAACCTTCACTGCAAAAACTCCTAATTTTTCTTTGCCAGGTTCTGGATATAGCTATTTGCTCCAACAGACAGCTCCATAACATCCTTGCTCACCTATGTTTAATGGTTAAAAGAGTTAACATAAAAAGTCCTAGCTCCCATTTGTAAAATGGCCTGATTTGCACACCACAAGAAACCACTGTGGATGAATTTCCCCATGGGGCTACTCCTTGTGGCATGGGCCACCATTTAGAACCTCTGGACAAAGTGGAGATGCACAAATGTGTTTCATTATATGCAAACCCACAAGGGTGTTGAGGTGCTTGGCAAGACACCTGGAACCCTGAAACAGCCCATGGGTTCTGGGTGGTTTGTCAGCCACCCCACCAACGCACATGAATTGAGAAACTGCAGTGGCAGGGGATGATAAACCATGGTGGGCTGTAGTGGTCATGAGAACCAGGTCTTCATTTCCATCCTTGATAAATGAAGGTGTAAATTAGATTGCATTCACTATGTTTTGCAGGGGGTTTAGCTGTATGCACTTCCCCCTTTTTTAGTACCGTAATATTGTTTATTTAATATGATTTAATTTGTCGTTCATTTGATTTCTATATTCTACCTGTTAGATTTTAATTGTGAAGTGGTAGGAAGGTTCTCTGGCTAAAACAGTGCAAGCATCCTACACTGTTGAGCTAGCTAATTGTGGCTACCCAGCCCATGCAGTCCAAAAGAAAGAAACGATCGCACACAACGCTCTGTAGATGTGGCCAAATCTGTCTCTCTCAAGGTTGCTCCATTGCTGATGATTGTTAAGCGATAGATGTATAACTACGCTGAGGTATGAATACATGACATGGGCCACCACCCAGGAAGGAATTTTGCTGGATGCAGAGCAACATAATAGGGATTAATAGACTCTTAATCACAAAGAGCTTTCCCTTTCCATCTGGTGGGGACTTCATTGTTTTGCCACACAACCACAGTGGCTCTCCCTACTCCCCTACCAACTCATGTAGGTTTGCTGTTGCCTCATGCAACAAATCTGTCTAAACCTAACTGTTTGCTCAAAAACTAGATCTGAAATTATTTGAAGATCCAGACTTGGGTGGAAAGGTCACTCTAGGTGACTCGCTGCTCTTGCCAACTGCCTGTGCAAGCAGAGAACATGCGTTAAAGACCAGCCTTGAAGAAGACACTGAAGAACTATTAAGGTATGACTCTCCAGTAAGGGCACGGCAGAATTTTGTGTACATTCGCAAAGCATGCAGACATGTGTTATTTGCAATCCTAAGCATGAGCAAGAACGTTTTTTTCAAGGAAATTATGTGATTTTCTAAATGTGTTCATATTTTAAAAAATGTGTGCCAAACATGTATATTTTCACACTTTATAGAGGAAATTGCACATAGGGAACACAGTTTCAAAAACGCATATTTCCCCTGTTTGTATTGCGCTCTTTTCCTTTTTGAATGGAACAAAAAGGCAAGCTTTAAGTAGTGTTTGGAAAATCTTGAGGATCACAGAAATCTCTTGTTCACCCAGTGCTGCTCTGAAGTAGTCAATTTTCAAAGATTTGTAGCTGGATAAAGCAGATACATATATCAGTTCTTTATCCTGAATGGGCTAATGCCCAAGAATATGCTTGAGATATATTACAAAGGGGCTAAGCAGTAGCCTGGGATCCTGCTCCTAAATATTTGTGAAGTTGTGTCTGGCCTAGGCATTGGTAAGAACTTTTGCTTTAGTACAGCAAGCCTGGATGTTGAGCTCTTACTTGGGGATGGATGTTCACAGGAAATAGTCCTTTGGTTTGTTCAGTGTGGACGGCACACACTCGGCAGGGGTGCCTGGATGCGACTATAAGCCCCGAGTGGCTACATTTTCACAGCAAACTCAAGCTGGCACCTTTTCCCCTTTTCCATGGACACCCACCAAGATGGAGGGGCAATTAGAGCGACCCACTGGGCCTTCCTTATTCCCTGGGAGCAAGGTTGGCGGAACAGTTCCCTTCATATTGTTCTGGTGGTAGTAGACCTTGGTGTTCCCCCCTGCACTCCTGCTGGTGAGCAGGATTGCCCATGAGCCGTGGAAGCACGCCCACGTGGGGGAGCCAGTGACAGCGAGCTAAATGGCAGTGCTTCCCACTGCTATTCTTGCCAAGGAGTGCACTTATTTTTTGCCTCGACTGTGGTTTGTTGGTCTTGGACAACACAACTAGCTGCTGGGGAGAGGGGGTACTAGACCCCACTACTAATTGAGATGGCTGAGAAGCCCATCCAACACATCGAGAAGGCAGCACATGGGGAAGCTACTCCCTTCTCGTCAGCTTTGTCCCTGCATTTGTTTTTGACCCAAATCAGGAAATGGGCGACTGGCCTATGCCACACAGTTTAATTATTTATTTATTTATTTATTTATTTTATTAAAAAATTTCTATGAGTTCTGACCTCCTGTGTCAACCTGATCCCCTCCAAATGTTTTGGAGTACAACTTCGATCAGTCCCAGGCAGCAGGACAAATTATTAGGAACTCTATAGGAGTTTCAGTCCAAAACTTTTGGAGGTCACCGAGTTACTTAAGGGTTGCATTTCATGGAATACTTCAGCCTTCCCCAACTTGACACTCTCCAGATGTGTTGGACTGGAGTGCGGTATGTTCGAGAAAACTAAACTAAACTTGTATGTCAAATATGCAGGCCAAAAGCCGTGTTTTATCAACTTTGCATGTTTTAAAAAGCCATTCCTAATGGAAGGAGAATTTTTTCACCATGTGAGGTTCCTTGGAAAACATGAGTCTATGGTTTCTATTGTTTATGCAGAACAATGTAGTATTAACCTGTCAAGTCAACACCTACCTAAATGTACCCAAAGGTACATTTTTCATTACATCCTGTCTCATGGTTTAGCAGCACATCTGATCTTCTAAGAAATACCATTTACAGTTTCTAGCTGTATTTTACTAGATATCATTGGGTGCTATCATTGGGAACATAGAAGAAATACAGATAGTCACAGGTCATCTTTTTTTTTCCTGCTTCATCTCAGTAATCAGAAATAGATACTTTGCTCATGTGAGCAAAACGCAATTTTTGAATACTTTGAATTGGCTATGGACTGCTGGAAACAGCTTATCTGTCTGTCATATGAATATGCTTCGAATTATGTGATTCTTCCTACTCAGTCAAGTGAAACAGGCCTCAGAGGGTTACCACTCATGTTTCCGTGTAGCTTTGGGCTGATGAATATCATTTCACTTGCCAGCACAGGAAAGAGACTTGTAGACATTGTAGTAAAGCCTTGTAGACATTACTGCCCCAGGAATTCTATCACTATCTGCCAAAGTGGGACTAGAGGAGGATAAATACCTGATCAGAATCTTTTCCTTTGATTTCCTTTTGTTCTTCTTTTGTTTGCAGTGTTTGCCTATTCTCTTATATTCACAAATTGTTCATGTCGGTTTCTACCAGAATATGATCTTGCATGATCATTTTGCATACGGGTGATAGCTCTGTATACTTCTCCTGTTGGGTGTTGATTTTTTGGATTGCAGCATGGTCTGTAGCCATCTTGATTAATAGCCATCAATAGCCTTACCCTCTATGAATTGGCCCAATTCCCTTCCAGTGCCATCCAAACTGATGCCCATTGCTATGTCTTGTGATAGTCAGTTTCACAAGTTGTCAAGTGCTTTCTTCTATCCAAGAACTCCCACAAACCAGGTTCATGGGATGATACTAATTCCAGTAGTATAATTCTACTAGATTCTGTACACCTGTGTATAATTTTGTATCTCTGCCTTTATTCACCCAAGCTAAAAATCCCCAAACTTGCCCTCAGGGAAGCATTTCAGCTACCAGTGCAGGGCAATCAAATATAGAGAAATTAAATGAAAGAGATATCAGTATGAACCAGCACTGGGCATTAATCCTATATATTCACTTACTCTGGGAGCTTTCCCTATAATGAAAGTGTTAATGGTGATATTCTCATTTGCCAGGTTAAATTTGTACCTCCTCCGAAGCTTTCTGCTGCCCCAGTGCTAATTTACTTCTCCAGCGCTTTACTTCTACCAAGACTGTAGTGCTGTACTAATGGGATTGGCCTTTTATGGCTCATTAATCTAAATTGGGAAGTGTAACAAATACTGTGCTTTGATTAGAAGGAGCTTAGTATAATTATTCCTGAGAATTCTGTGTCAGGATCTCAAGTCTGAAGAGTACATAAATTACAATGCACTGAATTACATTGTACTAAATTACAAAAGGCTGAAAGATGTATCTTAGCTGTTTAATCAATTAAAAGTACACCGATCTAATTCTGTAGCCATGCACTTGGGTCAGTAGCGCGAATTAGATGTGGCTGTCTGCAGGATAGCAATGGTATTTGGATCCTGGGGCAGGGGGAACTGTATGAACAGATGCCATCTTTTCCTATATATTTAGTTTCATTTGTGCCTTACTGAGGAAGAATGCTTGTATTTGTTAAGAAATTGGAGCAAGACATACCTTTTATTTTGTTATGTTACTACAGCTGACTTTAGCTTCTGCCTCCAAGTCTGAGAGGGCAGCCAGCTTTTGATTACACTCAGATGTGCTTGTCAAGTCCAGAGCTTAGGCAACAGGTGTCTGTAGCTGGAGCACTAGGACCAGGGAGGATGGAGATCTTGCTGCGAGGCACTAGGCAGGAACAGGCATGGGTCAGATACTGTCCAGGCATAACAGGACCAGAAGCAGAGGCAATATCAGGAGCCAGTGAGAGTCACGTACCAGCAAGGTACGGTGGGCCTAGAAGTGGAGGCCAGCCCAACAGCCGGCGAGGACCAGATACCTGGCGAGGGAGAGCAGGGGCAGAGGCAAGGATCAGGCCCCTGGCAAGGCAGGGTCAGGAACACAACGCAGCCATCATGCAGGGCCAGCTGCTGCGGCAAAGCCATGCAGGGAAGCCTCCCCCGGAGCCTGCCAGTGCTCCCAGCTGCTCTGCATGATAGCACAGCCAGCAAGCCTCACAAGTACCTGCAGCTCTGACACTTGCAGGGTGACTCACATGCCTCTCACACTCGTGTCCCCAGGGGAGGCTGTGTTCCTGCTTTGGATCCTCACAGAGGTTTACATCAGCCCGATTCAGACAACAGGAAGTCACAGCTGTTCCTCCTGTTACAACGAGCCTTAGCTCCCTCTCTTCCTTTTCTTCTTTTTGGCACACTTGCACTTCCTGTTTTAAACCAACCACAGTTCCCAAGTTCATAATGTCATACCCAGGAAATTGTGTGCTTAAGTCATGGTTTGTGAGAAAAGCAGGAGCAATCTATGGATTCCAATTCTGGCTTGTTCTCAAACTCTAGTTCAGCCTTCCCCTTCCTCCAGACATGCCCCAGCCCCAATATGATCCTAGGCCATGAAGGCTGGGGCTGATGGGAGTTGGTTCATATCACCTCGAACCTTATGTATTTATATCCCACCTTTTCTCATTTCAAGGCAGCTTATCTCCTCTCAATCTTACCTTCACAACAACCCTGTGAGGTAGCTGGGGCTGAGGATCTGTGAATGTCCCTAAGTCACTCAGCTGGCTCTGTGGCTGAGTGGGGACTAGAACCCAAATCTTACAGGTCCCAGGGCAGCACTCTTAACCAAATCACAGTTCCCCAGATTTGGTTCTCATAAGGAATTGTTGTTAGTTTAAACAGGAAGCTACAAAAAAGGAACACAAGAGGAAGGGAGAAAGGGGCATGTGAGTCCTTTTCATTCTCATGACAAGCAACTAAAGTGTCCTCTTGCATCTGAACTTCGACATTCTCTTATTGCTGCTGGCCCTTGCTAAAGCGAGTCTTAGCAACTGTAGTTATTCTTTGTTTTGCTTTCATCAAGGTTTGCAATATCTGTCTATTTTAACGTATTGCATTTAGCAAGATGAGAATCCAAGCCAAGGTGCTGGAAGGAGCATTTTCCATTACGACTTCTTTAAGCGTATCTGCACAGAATGTCTGCCTTGTTTGTTACTGTGGCATCTCACTGCTGCAAAGCAACCAAGGCTATGAACTAGCAGGAGGAATGCTAGTTCAAACATGACTGTTGAGACAATATAAAAATCAGCCTCTCCTTTTAAGCACCAGGGCTGCAAGCGAGTTGACCTGACTGGTCAGGCTGACCATGAATGGCTCAGTCACAGACGGAAGTGAGAGCCCTTATCAGACTCAGCTGGCCACATAAATTTCC